CTTCTTTTTTTCTTTCTTTTCTCCTTTCCTTCATCCCAGTTTCTCCTTCCCTTTGAACAAATTCTTTCCATTTTGCAGCATCTATTGTACCTTTGAGATTTTATTTATTCTTTCAGGCTTTTACACTAGGGAGACAATATGGTGTTTACACATGCAGGTCTGATCATTTCACTTATGAGTATACTTTCTAGTTGCATCCATTTACCTATACAAGCCTCAAGTTTATCTTTTTCATAGTAAGTAATATTCCATTGTATAAAAATACCACATCCATTCCTCAGTTGATAGGCATTGAGTTGTTTCCAAGATTTATCTAATACAAACTGTGCTGCTGTAAACATGGGTGCACATATATCGCTGTGGTATGGTGTTTTCAGTTCTTCTGGAAAAATACCCAGGAGGGGAATAGCTGGGTAGAATGGGGCCTCCAATCCTAGCTTCTTGAAGAATTTCCATACTGATTTGTGTAGTAGTTACTTAGTTGTGTCTTCAATAACTCAAGCATTCTTTGGGGGGAAAAGAAAAAGACTTTTTAGATGATATAGTTCAAAGTAAAATTTAAATCCACTGCTTAATAACATAAATCCTAATTTTGTGCTGAGGGTTTTTTCCCATGATGTACCCAGGAATTTTAAATCTTGCTAACTGTGTAAGCCACTCAAGAAACTTTTCAGACCTCAGAGAAAGGAGAGCACCATGAGGAGGAGCCACCTTTCCTTCCAAGGAAGGTGGGTTGGGTCAGAGGAGCACCTGAATAAGAAATTGGACTTAGGGAGCTTGTTCTTTGAGAGTATCTCCTCCTCCTCCTCATTCTCCCGCAGTTCAGTGAAGGATACTTCCCTTCTTCTAGAAGATGCAGCTGAGGGCTGCCTTTAAGGGAACCTGGGAGATGCAGTGAAGAAAACCTTAGAACAGAGTGAGGCCTGGAAAGAGTCAAACTCACAGAAGCAAGGAAGCAGGAGAAAGGAGGGCATCAAGGGGAAAGGAATGGAAAGAAAGAGAGGGAGGAGAGGGAATGAAGAGGAAAGAAAGGGGAGGGAAACCCAACGCATGGGTGTTTGGAGACAGGTGGGCAGCTCTGAGTTATCGCTGGCCTTTCTGCTTGGAGCACAGAGATTTCAGCCAACAGAAAGGAGTGGTGTGTCTGTGGCTCCTCCGCTCTCTTCTTGTGTTTCTTCTTCCTGTAGTCTTGAGGGTGGAAAGGAAGAAGGGTTTCCCACCCATGCCCCTTCCACTCATCATGACCCTGGTACTGCTCAGTGGATTGTTGCAAATGTGACAGAAATACCTAGATTTTCCAAAGTTCCACTTCAGCAGAGGCACAGGGGTCCCCTGGGGGTGGCTGGCCCCACCATCTTGCATACACCAAAGTGGAACCCTCTCCCTGTGTTGTCTCCCACCCACAATCCTTTGCTCTAGCTCTGCTAAGCAATGAACTGTGAGTTTCCAAAAGTTACCATTTCTGTTCAAGCTTACACATATTCAAGTACTCCTTGCCAAAAAAGTGTGAAATATTATGGATAAGGTTTAAAGTTACCAACCAACTTCAGTGCAACTAATTTTTAATACACTTATGAAGAAAAATAAAATATATTCTGATCACTAGGAAACCCTCAGGTTTGAAAAATGACCACATTACATTGCAAGGAATATAGTGTAAGTATAGTTATGTTTGACTAATTTCATACATAATATCACATTAGCCAGTAATTTATTCTATTGCAGAAATATCTTTGAGATATGAACTCTAGGATATATGTGATTACTTACTATACCTTATCTTTTTGTTAGGTGAATAAATAAAAAATAATGGCACATAGGAAAATACCTCAGTGCCTTTTTTATTGTTTTATTAATTTTAATAACACTTGCTTCATGAAAAATGGAGTTCTCGTGGCATTTTTAAACTGAGCCTGAAGATCTAGTTTTATTAATAATACAATATAATATAAATTAAAATATAATAACATCTAGTGCTTAACAATGACTGAATGCTTCCATATACATCATCTTGATTCTTTGAACAACCTTTGTTACAGTAGGCAAGGCCAGAGAGGATCGCAGAGCCTGCATATTCAAGGTCACATACATCGGATGCTTAAAATCCAGGCTTCCTCTGCCCATCAGGTGACCTTTCTAAGCCATCATGTTGTAAATTAGACTCACACTGAGATAGGTCAGCATAGGTGACATCGTAAGAGTATAGTATTTTCCAAGTCAATTTCGTAAGGTATTAATTTGAATTTCTAAATATTCTGTATTATTCCATGTATCTATATTCTTACCCACATATGATGTAGAAGAAATTCAGATAATGAAAAAAATAAAATAAAATAAAAGTGAGAAGGACATTTTAAAGCTTCTGCCTGCTGTGCTTTCCAAGATAGCTCAGTAACTGAGCAAAATAAAACTTAAAAAAGAAAAACAAAAAACCCTCTTGTTATAGAAACCCCTGCCACAGTAAAGGTTTTCAGTCTGTTTTTCTAAGATCATATATGAATCTGGGAGAGAGATGTAAGACGGAAGTGAGAATATACTGATGTGTTAAAGACACAAAAAATCACTTCAGAAGTCTCACTTCTGTCTGTTTGCAACTCTCTTCGCCTCATTTTCTGGGCAGACAGCAAAAACCCAGCCTACCCGTGCTTCCACAAGACTGGAGCTTGGGTCTCAGTTTAACTTTCTCCCCGTGGGGTTAGCAAGCATCCAGGCCTTCGGAAGATCCAGCCAGAGCTTGTGGCGAAGCTCGGTGGTGGTACAGCACTTGCCTAGGGAGGTTTCCTACACAGAATTACAAAGAGCAAAACTCCAGTTAATTTAACATTTATATCCTACATAATATCATCCCTGCTGCCCTGGAAAAATGAAGGTCCTAGGGTCCAATAACCTTATAAGTGAACTAAAATACACAATCAAAAAAATTTTTAACTTATGTATAGGCCTAATGAAAAAAAATCAGCATGTGGGCAACTGAGAATTTCTCTCTTACTATTACAATTACAATTCCTAATTTTCCCAGTCTTCTGTTCCAGATTGTGAAGGCTGATCAGATCCTCAGTGGCAAAAGCAGACATGGATCATGAAAGAAGTTCTTAAAGGAGTAAGTTTGGGCTTCAGCACCCTTTTAGGAGACAGCGGATTTATCATTGTTGCAAACCATAGACATCACTTGGTTTGGTGGCCACAAAGTGTATGTGTAGCATAGGCTTGACGTTCTACTCAGATGTAGGCACCAAACAGTGATATATTGAGTGAATGTATAACTGAATGACTGGTGCCTACGTCAGAGGACATTGGGAGTTCAGATATGGCCAAAGGAACCAGCGTGCTGCCAGAGACCCTGCCAATCCAGTCTCCCTGCCACATTCAGTGGGACCTTAGATCCCCAGTCATCTGTAGCTTTCCTTGGCCTATAAGAAGCACCACTGGTCTCTTTGGCACAGAGCAGAACAAAAGACTGAAGAACAGGAATCCCTTGGCTTCTCCCATTTGTTCTTAACCCAGTTTTCCAGCTCCCAGTGTTCTCTCTCATTAAACAGGAATAAAATATATTGTTTTCCATTTTCAAAACCCTGCATTTTTACTCATTCCAGCTGCAAACTTTAAAGGCGAAATCACAAGAGGGTATGGGCAAACAGGGCCTACTTATAAAAGAGGTCACATAAAAATTTAAAAGCACTCAAGACTAAGTAGTTCAAGCTATCAGGGGGATGAGCTATGCAAACCAAGTGAAAATTAAAACTAAATTGCATACACCAATCAGTAATGGGTAACACATCCCCTTCATTTGCATGCAATGCAATTATCCTGCTCAGCGCTGAGCTCCGTGCATCCAGCTGGGTTAGTGCATCTCCAGGGAGCAAGGTGTTGGGCTTTTTCCCTGTGCCTGGTTGTGCTCCTTTGGGTGGGTCTGGCAAATAAATAACCACTGCAGCACCTGTGCACTTTCAACATTTGAAAGGAAAACAGTGCCGACCTGTGCACAGCAGCATTCAGATCCCTCAGGTGGATAAGACCCGGGTAGCTTCAGGTCAGTGCCCTATTTCTAGAACATTCTATTTGATCTTCTGATTTAGAAAAACACATTTGTTTTGGTGTTATATAAAGAATTCTTCTTCTTTTTCTTCACCCTGGACTGGCAGATGAAGGGGACATCTTGAAGTCATCTTTCTTGTACCAAGCTCCCTTTGACCAGCAAATGATAAAGGGTAAACTTGTTCCTCCTTCAGGACCCTTTTCATTGTCATGGCAGTCGCCTCGAAGAAAGAGCCAGATAAACTAGATGGTTGGCTGACCCACAGATCCTTTGCAAATCCGCTCCTGAAACATGGCCTGGGTTCTGAACTGATAACAGTGAGCCCAGTGTCCACATTCATCTCAGCCTCAAGCATCTGACAGTTGTTTTCCTGAAGGTTCTTCATTCTGGCCCCAAGTCCGAGTGGGGGAGAAGCCAGGCACTGCTGGGTACCTGTGGCTGAGCTGCTGGCCTGGGTGGTCCAGCCTGGGCTTCTCCTCAGGGCCCCATTAGAGCTGGCCTCTGGAGCCCCACTGGGCTGAGGTAGCTCCAGAGAATGCACCTTGAACTTCCTGGATCGGCTCCTCCGGCTTCTGGACTCCAGGGTTCTCTGTGCAGAGACTGAGGTCAGCCTGACTCCTGCAGTGTCACTCAGAAGAGAGAACTCGCCATTCCTGGAGCCAAGGCCAGGATTTGGCTGGACCTGGGGGACAGAGAAAAGGACAAAGGAAACAGTTTCCATTGAGTGCAAAGATAAGATTTTTGAACAGGAGCAGTTGTCTATGCTGGGCTCCATCTTGCACCCCTCCTGCTTCAGCCTCCCAGAGTACTGGTACTACAGGCATGCATCTGGCTGGCTCCCTAAGGTAGCTTTTCAACAAGGGTAAGACTTAGAGAAGAAATGGCTAGTTTACAATACCATATTTCTGATGGCTTAAATTGCTTTAAACAACACAAGGACTTTCCCAGTAGGTCATTCAGTGGCCCCCTGGGTGCTGTAAATAATGGGCTACCAGCCACACAGAAAGAAGAAAGCCACGGGGCCATATGGTCTCAGTCAGAATAAAGACTGAAATGGGAATTTAGTCTCTTAAAGTTGGTGACCCTCCATTTTTATTATGCTAATTATGATATATCTCTTAGCCTAGTCCAGACAGGGTAATAATTTGACTGCTTTTTAAAGCAAATGCTCCTTGTATTCTTGGGTACCACTTATGTAGGGTATGGCTTAGTACTGTGTAGGAAATGAAAGGGGACTATGCAAAAGCTCTGGTCTTTTAACCCCTGAAAATTCCACCCTGGTTCCAATCGTATAGCACCCCTCAGCAAACCTCTCCTCCTGTGGGTAGATATACTCTCCCCAGAGACCAGTTCACCTCAAATCTGTCAGCCTCGAACACTCAGGAACCTGGCATAGCACCCTCACCCAACACTCTCCCTAGGAGGATTTCAGAAAGAAACTATTTCTCCATCTTGTTAATAGTCCTTAGAAACTGGCATTCAGGACCACTCATCCCCATCAGGCCCAGACCTCACGCAAAGCCCAAGAAGGATGGGACCAAAGAACCCCAAATGCCTACTGCTAATGGAAGAACCCAAGTTAAAAAGGTCATATACTGTGGCATCCAACTAGATGGCATTCCCTAAAACATAACTATGGAGACAGTGAAAGCATCAGTGATTGATAGGTTTGGTGGAGATGCAGTGGAATGAGCTGGGCGCAGAGGCCTGGGACGGCAATGAAAGTTCTCTGTGTGACACGGTGAGGGCGCAGGCATCCCCACAGTTGTCAAACCTGCAGAACGTGCAACCCCAAGTGAATGCCCATGTAAACCACGGGCTGTGGCAATCATAGCCTGTCAATGCAGGCTCCTTCCCTATGACAGCTGGGCTACTCTGGGGAGGATGTTGATGGCTGAGAAGTTGGGGTATCTGTGGGACAGGGGGAAAAGGGACCCAGGGACTCTACTTTCTGCTTAATTTTACTGGGAACTAAGACTGTCCTAAAAAGCATCTACTTAACCTGGGAAGCAAAGAATGCTACACATTTATCTCCCAAGGCAGGAAGTCAGAAATCACCACAGTGAGAAGGTCAAAAGTGAGGCCACCACTGCCCACATCCACAGAGTATTTGCTTGCAGAGGCGGCATAGACATATGTTCACCTCTCAGTTTTATCTCTGATGGAAATGGAGAGGTGATGATTAGCAAAGTGCAAGAACAAAAACAAAAGCTGGAGACTTCCACTGCTTCCTCTAGATGTTGACAAATACTCTCTGTGAAGGGCCACATAATAAATAGCTGAGGTTTCCTGGCCATATGGACCAGCTCCTAGACACCCGGCGCTGCCACAAGGCAGCCATAGGCAAGATATAAATACATGGCATGGCTGTGTTTCAATAAAACTCTATTTACGAATGCTGAAATTGGAATCTCATAATTTTCATGTGTCATAATTTTTCCCCAACCATTTAAAAATGGAAAACTGTTTTTAGCTCATGAGCCATAATTGGCTTGTCCTTGCTCTCTCTCCCGATCGATGACTCCTATTCTCTCACGCTCTCAGAACATGGAGTCTTTTGCCCCAAACAGCATCTCAGCTGGAAATTTAAAACATGAAGTGGTGAATTAGCTGTGCCTGCAGCTCCCCTGCCCAGGGCCCCAGGCCTCCCTCTACCCTCCCACTGTGGCTGCCAAAGCCCTCACCAGGGCCCTACACATCTCAGAATGGCTTGAAAATTACTCTTCCGGGATGTCTACATCCTGCCCCTGAACTCCTTCTGTCCCTAGAGAGCTGCACACACCTGAGTCCCCCCTCATCCATGTGCTTTCACAGGTAGAATTCCTGGGCACCAAGTCCTGCAGTGCTGCAGCCAGCCCTGGCCAGTTCACAGGCTCTGTAAGCAGAGGACACTAGAGGAAGGATGACTGCTGTACCTCAAGACATGGTCACTGACAAACCAATGGGAGAAACGGGGATGCCTAAGCTTGGCTGCACATTGGACCTAAGGGGTGGCTCACTGGGGATCATTAAACAATGCTGCCCAGGTCTTGCACTTGATGCTCTGCCCCCAGCCCAGGATACAATCTGTGCATTAAGAACTTTCCCACCTCCTGAGGTGGTTCTAAAGCACAATAAAGTCTGGGACCCACTGGTATGGACCAGAAATCCATACCTCAGAGTTCACTCGAGGCCATGTGAGTTTGTTGCTCATCATCGAGAGCCTACCTTCTGATCTCATTCTGGGAATTCTTTTGTCTAATTTCATTTTGCACTCTCTCCCTGCATTTACTTTTGCTCTATATTTGTCCCTTCATCCCTTCTTTCCTTCCTCCCCTCCTGCATTCCTCCCTTCTACCTTCCCTTCCTATCTCTCCTTTTCTTTTCTTTCTTTTTCTTTCTTTCTTTTTTTTTTCCAGAACCAGGGATTGAACTCAGGCCGTTGTACTTGCCAAGCAAGCACTCCTGTCTCTCCTTTTCAACTGTCAGGTTTTAGCAAAGAATATCTTATTACATGTCAGTTGAGTATTCTTTATCTAAAACACTCAGGGCCAGAAGTGTTTTACATTTTTTTATGTCACTCAACATCTTCATACACATAATGAGCTAGTTCGAGCTGATGCCAAAGTGTAAACACTGCATTCCTTCATGTTCTATGCACAGGTACCTGAAGGCAATCTTATGCAACATTTTTAATGTATCTGCATTTTGACTGTGACTACTGTTTTCCATTGGTGGTGTCATGGTGTCAGATTTTGGAGCAGTTCAAATTTTTGGATTACAGATACTCAACCTTTATTACAAGATGGGATCTTAATATATGGTGAGTGCTTACTTTTTAAAAAAAAATCTACACCGTGAAAGACACACTACCGTTAATCTCCCCCCAAATGCCCCTAGCTTGGCATCCAAGTTCCATCATCCTGGCTACTCTGTGCAGCCCTTCTAGAGGTCTCTTGGGGAGCTTTAGTTGCATCCTGCAGGCTGCCTCTGCATCCTGAATTGGTTCAAGGCATTTATTTCACTGTCACCTTGACTTTGGGGAACAGCCAGACATCACATGATGCCAGGTCTGGTGAGTGAGGTGGGTGAGGACACCTAGCACTGTTTTGTAAGCCTGCCTCTCTGCCACATGGCCCCTGACAGCAGCACTCATCATATTCTTTATCACAGCTCATAAAGAAGCTCATGGAAAAGACTTCCAGAGCTGCTTCAGAAAGTGCTAAGAGGGGCCAGGGAGATAGCACAGAGGCTTGAGTGCCTACCTAGCAAGCACAAGGTCCTGAGTTCCATCCCTGGTCCCAAAAACAATAACAACACCAAAAGATACTATATTTTAAGGGCCAGCCAAATAGCTCAGAGGACTAAAGCACCTGCAACCAGGCACAGGAGCCAGAGGTTAAATCTCCCGGCCCAGGTCTTGGGAGGCTGTAAACAGGCAGATCACTATGAATCCAATCTAGTACTGAGACCCTGAACACCTTCTAGACCCCTCCCTAAAATACAAAAAGAAGAGGAAGAAGAAGAAGAAGAAGAAGAAGAAGAAGAAGAAGAAGAAGAAGAAGAAGAAGAAGAAGAAGAAGAAGAAGGAAAAGGATGTCTCTCAAGCCATCTCAGACATCTTTGCCTTCACTTTTCATCATTATGATAAAGGCTCCCCAAAGTATAACTACAGCTTGGACCTGGGCATTAAACGTCACAGCTCCCTATTCAACTTCTTTCCATGTAGTCCACATGCCCCAAACCATCTAGACCACCAAACTCACCTCTTTCATTGCCTCAAATCTATTCTGCTTTCTCTTTTCTCTTAGGAGATGGCATCTTGTAGGCCCCACCAGACCTGGCTCCATGTCACCCAAGTGAAAGTACCATCTATGTATCCCATGCCTGACTGGTCACTGGGCCTGTGGACAGAGCCTTCTAACGGCTCTCAGGCTTCCTGTCTCTGTGTTCATACTCCTATGAACCCTACCCTAGCACAGGCCAGCAGCATCTCTCAACTGAGTCACTTCAGCAGCCATCTAATCCCCTCCAGACCTGTCGCCTGCTACTGTTCCTTCTCCACCTGCCGCCACAGGCTTTGATGTCACTGCCACATGTCAGCGGTCCCCTATTCTTCTAAAGATAGCATCTCAGCCTTCTGCTTGGTCCACCTTGCCCCTAATAGTCTGTCCCTTACTAATCCAATCTGATAATGTACCTCTTTCTCCTTTTCAACCTCCACAGGCTGAACTTAAACTCCTTGCAATTCATGAAACATGACTCACTCTTCCCCAGGGCCAGTGTTGTTATTTCCCCTGTCTGGGATGGGCCTTTTCTATCCATTGCTGCTGAAAACTCATTTTTGTCAACACCAAGTCTCTGACCCCTTCTTGGAAGTATTTTCAATGTCACCAAATTTGCATAGGGTACCACTAAAGAGTGATTCTACTGCTTATATTAGCTATGAGACTTTCGATGGTTACATATCATTTTATGTCACAGTTTGCTCATCTGTAAAAGAAGATAAGAGCCACCATCATATGCTTGTTGTGAATATTGAATAATAACAGTGCCTAGGATGTGGTAATGTTACATATGGATTGGCTACAATAGTCATCATTAATCTTTTCATTATTTCCCCTGCCAGCTACTTTCTGTATCCTAATACTTCCCATACTGTTTTATTCCTGGTATTTATCCCTCCATATCTTTCCCTAGACT